ATGAATAAATTATTCATCATTTCGGAATGATATGTTCAGTAATAATATGATTTGAATACATTCTAAGTGTAAGCAATTGTATTAACAAGCTTCAACTGATTTCATTTAATTTCTAATTAAAATCACTTGTTCAACTTACCTGTACTCTTGTACTAACTTTATTACAAAAACTTAAAAAAGGAGTATAATCCAGTTCAAAAGTGTGATGACTGACATGTTAGAAAGACGGGGAAAAACAAATCCGAATCAAGTTGAAAGATCATAGAAAATTCAGAATCTCCATATAGGTATTTACAGAAACTTCAAGATTTCTTAGACAACAGAAAGTAGTGACTTTTATCAGGATGAAAATAAAAAACCTTAAGTTTCAAAATGTGAATATTACCCCTAAAAATAACTAATTCAGTTTTAATACTAACATTTTGAAATCATTCATCGTTATAAAACTTAGCTGCTATTAAAATGAATCAATTTAAAGAAAGAATATATCAAACTGTAATTTTTCAGATTGGTTACTGATAAAATCATGAATACCGCTATATGATAACCCGTCATAATGCACTGACTATTCAACTAAAAATCAGATATGAAAGTATAACTATAGATGAAGCATCGAAAATATATCTTTTATTTATCGATTTATGTGATACAGTAACATTTGATTAGTCAGCAAGGATTTTCCTAAATAAAGTTCACATCGGGATATTGAAATTTCAACAAAAGATCTGTACGACTTTTAGTTTGCTCACAATAGGCAAATAGTCCAATTGATTGATCAGAGTATTTAATTCTAGTGGTGAGGATAACCAATCTGTTGTTTAATGCAAAAGTAAAAAGTGCTTTCCTAAAATATGAAAACCATACATTGAATACATTATTTGTACATCTTCCTTCAGTTGTCCCTTACACGTTTCATGATGATTTCAATTACGTTATTATTGAAATACCCTCTGATTTCTCTTTCCATTCTCTCTAATTCAATCTTCCCAATCTTCTGTTAGAATGTATATGAGCTAAACAGATGTCTCATCCTCATTAGAATTTTCTGACAACTATCTTGATGTTTGAATTCATAAGAGAGCTGTGGATGCACACTGCTATGTGGTCTCATACCAGTGCAAAATAATTATTCAGTACTCACCAATTTTCAATACCTTTTTATTTGAAACCATTTTCTAAGAAATTCAATGTAACTACTAGAAATCTATGCCAAATGAAGTAGCAATTATCACGTTGATGCCAGCAAATTCATAATTAAAATAGAATACAGAATCAATTCAATTATATCAAATCATTTTAAATTATTTCAATGCTATCATTAAAACAATAACCTCAATCCTATTGAATATCGCATTGAAATTTCAATTGTTAAACATTATGACTTATCATAAATGAAATTATTTTGTCAGTCGATTCCAAATGTCTTAAAAATAGATTAAATATTAACAGAATGGGTTTGTTTTGTGGAGATTTTTAGAAATTTCGCTGGTTGAAATCATGAGTCAATTGAAAGTAGACCACCATTGAAAACCTGGAAGCATTGGATGGCTGTTTCTTCCTGGTATGGGACTTCTCAGCAGTGCGCATCCAAGATGCCATGGGATTTGATCCCAGGACCTACTGGTTTCGCGCGCGAGCACTTAACCATTAGACCACTGAGCCGGCATCCGACGGAGTCCTATACCAGGACAAAACGGTCGTCCAGTGGTTCCAGGTTTCCCATAGTGGTCTAGCTTTAATTGACTCATGATTTCAACCAGTGAAATAGATTGAATGCTAATTAGTTAACTCATAGTGAACCAATAAAAGTAATTATTGAATGTCAAATTATTAGGACAAGCATACTACTAAATTATATAAATAAGTAAGTAACGAAATTAATTGGTAGATTATGCATTAATGCATTCAGGAAGGAAGTTAACGTACATATTTTATAGCTTAAAAATATTAATCTCCATCAAATAAATATAACCTGTACATAAGAACTTTTGTCTAAATTTGAACGAATAGTTTCACAACATTTGGGCGCCGAGTTAATGTGAGTCATCGAAAAGAGGAAGAATGTATTTGTAAAATCTCAGCGATAATTTTGTTGTTTGATTATATTTTCCTTGAAAAAGCTTGGACCAGATTGCCAGACGAAACGTTGGATTTACTTAAAATTTTTTCGCTGAGATTTTACAAATACATTCTTCCTTTTTAAATATAACCTGATTTCTAGTGAATTACTGATGAATAATATCATCCAATCAAATTAGATCACAAAATACCTTGGATACAAATTAAATCGGTTTTATATTGCGTGTTCATTGACAGTTGACGATTATCGTTGAGAGTAAAAATAATCCTAGTTGTAAATAACTTAGTTCTACTGGAGACCCTTCACAACCCAGGTAGTTCAGTGGTAACATCTCAGACTGTGAAATCGGGTATCCTGCTACACTGGAGCATCAGTCCCCTTGGGATTTGTAGTATGTTTTATTGGAGAGCGCTAAGCAGGATAAAATCTAGATGCAAAATTTTCTACCAACTACCACCAACAACCTGGTTATCTCAACATAATCCATGCAGTGTCAATTCACTTAGACTAGTATCCACATAGTAAATTGATCGATAAAACTCGTTAAGCACTATAGGTCACCTAATGTAAACGATTAAACGCTGCGTGTAGTATATTTTATTGTTAGACAATTGAAGATAAGCGGCTGATAACCCTAAATCCAGGTTTTGAACTAAATGCTAATCGTTAGCAAGATTTCTTTACAATCTTGAGAGAACCGATGCTCTCCATGAAATGAGAGCAGGCATAACCCATAGTCACAGTCTGAGGTGTTATAGCTTAAATGTTATTGACCACTTCCTTCTCATTTACCAGTCTACCAGACCTTGTTCCGTAAAGATTGCTGTTCTTACATGTACGACAATATTGTAATAACATGTCGAAAAGGTTTACCCATTCAAAAGTCAGTAATATAGACAACAATTGGTTGATCAAGCTACATTCTCTTTACGATCAAATGTTTGATTTATCAGTCCTACTCATCAGTTAACTATCTTACAAATCATTTTACAGTATCAGTACCATTGTCTATCCATCAAAGAATCTCACATAAAAAAGAAAGATGTTCAGTACAAAATCTGTTAATTTCCGCTTCTGATATTGTATATCATTTTCTAGTACTATAATTCATCAAGTTATTTAGTTGAAAAGTACTGAATGTGATGTCATTTAACATCTGATTGTTACTGATTAAACCCTAAGTAAACTGTTCCTTCTCACATTTTAGACTTAAATTTATAGGGAATGGTTGAATTCTTTATGGGCCAGTTGCTAATAAAAGGAAATAAGAAGTAGTAGGTATAAACAATAATTAAATTTACATGGACAATTATTATACTGTTTTCATCACATATTTCAATGAAACAATCATCCATTGTAGATCTTATATTTTTAACCACAAAGACCACAGTGTACTCTGAGAAGAAGAAAAGTAACCTTTTTCGAAAGGAGAAAAAAGAAGAAAGCTATTCTATGATGTTTATGAACAAGTAGATATTTGTTACAATAATTTTTCCTTAAGGGAATGGATAATGTTCCAAAATTAGATTCATTAGAGATTTAGAATGATATGGTCACATCAAGACTATCACTTACACACCGACACACATATCATATACTGGTAATAATAATAAAAGCGTATCGAGAAAGAAACAGTAGAAGAACATATATGTGAAAGCCTTTTACGATTTTATTCGTTCCAGATTATTTTATCTCTTTTGTGTTTTTTGTGTCATTGAGCTGATATTTATGTCATATTACTCGAGATATTTGGTAATAATGCACACACACACGCACACAGAATTATACTTACAGCTGGCCTAATTTTAAGGTTAACAGTAGAAAAGAAGAAATCAGTTGAAGATAAGTAAGATTAAGTGGAGTTTACTGAAGATTTTCTACACATTTTTTTAATGAAATCTAGTTGCTTTTTTTGTTGTTGATTCAATCATGGTCAGTTTTTGCTTTTAGTCATGAATAAATTAAATATTTCTACTTTAACTGGTGGCCTGCTTGAGCATCTGAGCTACCTGTTCCCGCCATCTGGATATTTCAACAAGTTATCTATTTTAGTTTGTTTTAATACATCATTATGTTTATTAATCGCATAACTTATTCAGTTGCGTTTCGCAAAAGTGTACAACCTTTCGTTGTCAAAGTTACAAAAAGCCCAATAAGAGATATTGTGGTCGCTAGCAATATGCAGTAAAAAGAATATACATTATTCAAATGTTCATTTGCTAAACTGCTAGCATCTAACTGGCGATCACTCAATATTCATCGTCAGGATCGACCAAGAAGTAAGAGACGGAAATTTGTTGAAATACTTAGTGCTGAGAATTCTATATTGTACCAAAACTTTAATATCGACTAAAGCTAATAATAATATTGTAATAAATTAACTATCAGATAGTTCTACTTCATATTGTTTTGATTACCATTGGAAATTTCGCAGTTCCGAGGTTCGACCCCATGTGAAGTTGTACATGTGAACTGGTGAGACGTCATAAAAAAAACTAACACAAACCATTTATCCATTCATCATTTATTTCACTGGTTCTTCAAGATAGAAACTAAATACAAATAATTTGTACGAACATTAGTCAACATTCATCTCTTCTTCAAGCAAAGATATGAATATACATATTGTTTTTCAAGAAGCATAAAAGTGAATTAAAAAGAGTGATTAGTAACAGCCTACTTATGCAAACGAATTTTCACAGTTTATTATAATAAGCATCAAACTAATCGTATGTTAATGAATTACTTTGATTCTTATTTATTTAGATGACACACTTACTTGATTGTTTTCTCATCTCACTTAAATATAAACATAAATATACTACTGTCAACTTTCAAAGTCATACAAGAATTATCTTCCCAAACGTGAAAATAAATCACTTTATTATGATATATATGCATATGGAAATAATATACTCACTTTGTAAACAATCTGCATTTAATAAACGTTTACATTTATCATGACATTTAACACCACATTCAGTACATCGTAATCCTTGCCTGGCTACACCCCATAATAAGCCTTCACATTCATAACAATAAGTAGGACTGGTAGCACTAAACAATTGAAAATTATGCGGTGTATTACTTGATATGGGATAAGCCAAGGCTTGTAATGTTTTACGATAAACATGCATTTTCTAAAATATAAGGAAATATTCAACAGATAATTAGGATTATTTTGACGAATAGTAGTAAAGAATGATCTATAAAATAAATATAAATATTTTCAGTATGTGTTTGTGGAAATTAAAGAATACAGTCGAGATCTGTAGCTATTCTTCATAATGTTGTAGTACAAATGAGAATAGCAGGATTTGACAATATACCAACTGAAGCACTAAACTCAGACATGAAAGTTACTACAAGTATGTTTCACCTTCTCTTCAGGAAGATTTGGGGGAAGAAAAAAGTGCCACTGACAGACCGGAAAGAAGGAACCTCATCAAGATATTAAAGTAAGGAGACCTGAACAAATGTGAGAACTACAGAGGAATCACACTACTATCCGTACCAGAAAACGTTTTCAATAAAGTGTTCCTGGACCAAATGAAAGACTCAGTAGACGCTCAATTTCGAGATCAACAGGCTGGATTCCGTAAGAAGCGGTCGTGGACAGGCCAAATTGCGACACTACAGATCACTGCTAAACAATCGGTTGAGTGAAACGCGTTACTATACATCAACTTTATTGACTATGAAAGGCGTTCGACAGTGCAGATAAGAGAATATTATGGAAACTTCCTCGACACTATGGAGTTCCTGAGAAGATCGTCAACTTATCCGAAACTCATACGACGGACTACGGTGCAAAGTCGTGTATGGAGGACAGCTGACAGATGCATTCCAAGTAAGGACCGGAGTCAGACAAGGCTGTCTACTTTCCCTTTCTTCTTTCTTCTGATGGTCGACTGGATTAAGAGGACCTTGACGGAATACAATGGACAGATCAGAACCAATTAGACAATTTGGACTTCACAGATGACCTAGCCCTCCTATCCCATAGACACGAAGAAATGCAGATAAGGACAGCCAGTGCAGCAGCAATCTCTGCATCAGCAGGTCTCAAAATGCACAAACGGAAAACTAAGATCCTCAAATACAACACGGAGAACACCAATCCAATCACAACGGATGGCGAAACTCTGGAAGATGTAGGATTCTTCACGTACCTGGGAAGAATCATCGATGAACAAGGAGGACGTGATACAGACGTAGAGGTGAGGAATGGCAAAGTAAAGCAGCATTCCTACAGTTGATGAACATATGGAAATCGAAATAGATTTCAACCAACATTAAATTCATAATCTTCAATATGAACGTTAGGACAGTTCTACTGTACGAAGCCGAAACTTGTAGAACTACTACAACCATCATCAATAATCTACAAGTACTTATAAATAGCTGTCTACACAAGATATTCAATTTGTTTGTAGTTTATCTGAGTTTCACTAACAAATTACTAAAAACTTACCATTATCTAACATCGACTAATCTAAGGGAATCCACAGCAAACATGAGTCAAATTCATGATAAATTTATTCTGTATTATATTCCAATCAGTATAAAAAATTGTATTTCTAACGTTTCGTCACTTAATAAAAGAAAAAAATTGTTTCCTTTGAAACTTGTGTTAATTTAATACCGTTATGTATTTACTCTGAAGAAGGGACTTACATTAAGTCACGAAACGCCAGAAGTTCAATTTTTCTACTCATTGGGATATAATAAAAAATAAAGTTACCATTAACTTTCTACCCGATGCTCAAGCGATTCGAAACTAACAAGTCCAACCTTGACATCGATGATTCAAATTACTTTTCTTCAGATAATCTACCTAACATAAGCAGTAATGTCATATAAATAACAGCGCAATATCCTAGATTGATTGAGGTTAAGCATTAATACTGTTGGATTTCGGCTTAGTGGTCTAGAGGATGCGTTTGAACGTGAGTCTGAAGACCCTAGGTTTGATTCTCACGTGTGCGATCGTGTGTATCTACTACTGAGAAATCCGATACTATGACAAAACGGTCGTCCGCTGCTTCCAAATTTTCAATAGTGGTTTAACTTGGATCAGTTAATGATTTCAATGAAATCCAATAATCTCTGATGTGTGAGCGTGTAGGTAGACTGACAGGTGTCAGATGAGTTATATATTCCCCTATCGTTATTATTATTACTCACTTATTATTGATTGCTCATTGATGTTGGATCGTGTCGGGTTTTGGTGTGGAAATATATTTACGTTGCGGTCAGGTTAATCACGTGTTCTTGATTTGAGTTGTGTTGAAGTCCTGCAGAGTAGACACTGGGAGGGAATCTAGTGTAGATATTCGTCTAAGGTCAATTAACGTCCCATACGTGGAAACGTGGAAACCGAACCGTTATAACACTAGACGAAGTAAAACCGCACGTTATAAAAATCTCCATAACTCCATACTAAATATAACATTCTGTTAGTTATCTACTGATATCTCCCATGACTGTTTATTTGATTGAAGTCGTCTATAGAATTATGAGTTGATTTAGAGGTTTCAGATTGCCTAGATTCGGTAAGTAATATTCTCGTCCATCATAAAAATCTGCCAATTACCTACGAACTCAAGCATTTAACATCAAGCACTATTGTAATCAACCTGGGTGGGGACAACGAAAACATATTCAAAGAAATTTTTGTATGAACTGACCTAATTCAAGCTACGTATGCCGTCCAAAAAAGTGTGATTACTCTAATTTCGGTTGCAATATAAAAGAATTATTATAGCTTGCATCATTGACTGATATTAGTTAAATTACAGCTGAAAATTGCGAAGCAGTGGGTAGTTATTTCCTGCTAGTATGAGACTCCTCAGCAGTACACATACATAGACTAACCAGATATCAAACTCAGGGCTCTTAGGTCCTGTGACAAGAGCTTAACAATTATCAAGATGCAGTAGCCATACAGTGCTACCTAGTTTCCAGAAGCTGTTTAAGATCAATCCTTGATGTAAACCATAAAATTTAACAACTACAAACAGTCAACAGAAAAATAATTTATCTAAAATAACTTCCTACCAATTCTTGATCTGTCAGTGTCCAACTGGTTAGATTAGACGACAAAGATGTTAATGTACGTTTCTGCGCCATTGTCTAAATTAGAACAAAGGAAAATTGGAAAGTAAAGCAAGCTAAACTTTGAACTACACATCACATTAGTGCACAGAAATCTATGCAAAATAAAGTTCAAATTTGTTCTTAACATAGATCACTTATCGTATCAAACTATTAGATGGGAATTGTATCTTTTTCATTCCCTTGTACTTGGGCGTTTGACGAGTTGAAATTTGAATGATATTTTATTAGATAACTAATTTATCTTATTATTTATTCAAAAGTAGGGAATAATGATGACTTAGTTGTGTTTCTGTTTTGGTAATTCAGTATGATTACAAGTTCTGTTAGCATAATTGTCAACTTTCTTTCTGTTCATGTTGATAAAATCTCTAGTTTTTCGTTTTATAATTTATAGTAATTAACTACTAACGCTTGTTTATGCAGTTTCAGACTACCAGTGATGTGTGAAATAATCAGTTGTCATTAGACCTAGTGGGTTCGATCTTAACCGTCATGTACATCTTTCAGTGGTAGCACAGTGACTAAAACCATTATCTATCTACTACTAATACTACTGTAGTGCACGCCTCCCACAAGGATGTATGTAAGTAGTGTGTAGCTAAATGTGGTATCGAAGTTGCAATTCTTGTGATGACGTTCAGTGCATCGAACGCACGACGTTGGCAGAACAAATGGAGACCAGACGAGAAGACAGTTCAGATGGCAAGAAACACTGAAAGATGCAAATAGATGATGGATACTGTGTATATGTATTACGTAAATACTTTGTAACTTCTGGAAATAAACCTATATTCCTCCAGCCTAATGTCGTGTTTTACACTACTACTGCTTGAGCAGCAGATTAGTGAGGATAAACCGTCACCCAAAACACAGTGCTTAAAATCACCTTCTTGAAACAGTACATGTTATGATGAGTCTTGTTTACTTCCCAATTAAGTGTTATTGACTTTGATATACCATTAATGAGCCAGTGCAGAACTGCTTACAACAAGAAAAACAGAAAGTGCCTGTTTCAAAAAAGGCAGTGATTTAGTACTAGTCGGGGTTAACTTGTCTTTTGTGTAATTGTTGCATCCAAACTATACTTGGTCTACCTTGACTTGAATTATTTCGGTTAGGGTTTGGGATTCTCCCAAATCTTCCTTGAGGCACTTTTTTCTACCGAGTTCTGACACTGATGATCATATTGTGTATTTTATCGTATTTTTAATGCTCTTAATCCGTTTTTAATAGTTGACAGTACTTATAAATGTGGACAGCCAAACTATTCTTTCCGAGGAAGGAATGCAATGTGATGAGTATAAAATGTGGCTCCTTATGATGTGTACCCCCCCCACCCCAATTTCTCTAGTTTTGGGAAATTTGGGAGTTTCGTATTATTTCCCCAAAGTTTCCTATAGCGGCTTACCCAAAATTTACCTAACACCGACAAAATTTTCCCCAAAATAGGAAGAATGGGCCGTTTTAATCCCATCGCATAAAAAAGATGCTGGAAGATTAACTCGCATTGGCTTTGTATGTTTTGTGGTTCAAATAAGACATTAAAGATTCAAGAGGCTATGAGCCTTCAGGCTTTGGCCTTCAAGAAGATTGACGGTGACTGCACTGGTAACACGAATACTGGCAGCAAAGAATTTATCAGTGTTTTGCATGTTGTTACGGAACTTGCCAAACACCCGAATGCGATTCACGGAAAAGTAAAATCTCCTTTGAGGCTAATGAAGAGTGAAATAACACCTAATATTGGGAGTCATGATTCTAAAGTAGAAATTGAAGAACCCGATAAAACTGCCAGTTTTCTTAATGGTTCCGATGAGACTGTCTTAAGTGACGAAAAATGGACAACCATGCGGAGATAGAGGAGAGAGAGAAAAAGCCACAAGCAGTACCCACTTGGTTGGTAAGTCTCCGGTATACTCACATTCCGAGTCACAAAATATACTTCCAAAGTCTAGAAGTAAGACAGAAAGCCACCTTAGCGTGACTGGAAAAAGCTAAGTCTCATCGAATATTATTGTAAATAAATTTCTAGAACCAAACAACCCTGATCCAAAAATCAGACACATTCACGATTTGGAATAGGTCGGAGCATTTAGTTATTTACTGAGGCCTTTCTGTCTCACCAGTGTTTTTTTTTCAAAAAGAACGAAAACACTACAAACAGTTAAACATCGATTAATTACGAAACCTTTGAAATTATTCTGATTAAATTTATATCACTTCTAATATCTTACTCCATACTAGAATAGTGATTGTTAGTTGAAATCAAGTAAACTGGTCTCCTCCTCTGTTAACACAACAGTTCAACAATATTCGATTATTTGTTCCTAATTGAAACTGATCGAATGATATAAACATTTTCATTGTTCAACATCTGAATTTCTTAGTGAATAGATAATCATCGAATTAGTGAATCACCATATCACCGTACATTATCCCTTCAATTATTCAATAATTTCTCAAGTAACCTATGTTTGTCTCATTATATTTCCCACACACATTTCCATACAGAGAGGGAGAGAGAAGGGAATGGAGCGCGAAAGAAAATGCAAACCTACTGTGAAGAAAATTATTCTATCTGAAGAGATAGGTATCTTTACTTGAACAAGTATCTTTAATGGTTCATCAATTAAAAAAAAACTTCAATTAAAATAAACTTTAGACAAACAAGGAGGGGAGTGTGGGAGTGTCTATTCATTGTTCTATTTCAATACTTTTTTAGCTTGGAAGAAAATGTTACTTTTATGTTACATTTTTATTTATTATTTTAACATTGTAGTTGACATAGTTACTAATCGTTTTAAGTAGTACAATTGAGAACTGTATAAACTGTAGATGTTTTTATCCCTTGAATTACTATTTAAAACTATTTTAAAAAATTTCTGCATGTTCTTTTGTTTAAATGTAAATTATATTTGATTTCAAAAAAAATTTTGAATCTTGATCATTATCTCACGCTCTGAGCCATGTTCGTAGATGCAGACTACTTGGTTGGGGTTCTTGTGACTATTATAATCAATGGTTGGACACTCTGGGTGACATGGCTCATAATAGATTACAATGGTGCCAGTGTATGCACTCTTTGTCTTCCCTTAAACCCTGAGATTAAAATCACTTTATATCTTTCTTTCTTTGAACGAATTCTTTCTTTCTGTACTGTTTCCTTACATAAAATCTTTCTTTTTTAGATATTACCATCACTGAATTAAGTACTTCTATGAATCCGGTGTTCATCCTGCTGTGTTAATGAGGTATGGAGACTTGGACCGATGCACATATGTGCTTGGTCCTACGTTGTAGCTGACTGATTAAGAGAAACTTAATTCCATGAGATAAAAATGCTGTCTACACATAAGCATTAAGCTAAATTTCCATAGAGTCAAGACTCATGAACAAAATGAAGCGAAAGAACTTTCAAAGTACTAAGTTTAAAGTGAATCCCTAATGAATTTCATCTACACCTTTTGGAGGTCATTTTTAGTTACGTTTAGAAATTGCACATTATTATGATCTGATATTTTACTAAAACTCTTGAAACTTTGACTAAATGTTCAAGGACGTGGGAGTTCTTTCTTGTCAGTTGTGGAATAAATACGGTGACAGAATTAGCGGATCTCTTATAATACAGAAAAAAACTTATACAATCATTAAACAATTTACTTTGACAGATTTTTCCTTTAGTGTATGAATATTTTCGTCTTTGTAGTCTTAATTAATCAACGCTAAATCAATCCTAAAGATTACAGGTACACCTCGGTGTTGAGTTCTAATTAGCCTGAAACTTAGGTTAAGCAAGTTTTTTTCTGTGGACTTCCTCTATCTCAACATAATAGATTCAATGTTAAGTCACTTAGACTAATGATTACATTATAACAATCAATAGAATTTGATCAGAAACATGAAAAGACTAGATATATATAACACTGGCCACTACACAATGATCAATCAATTGTAATAAATTATTTAACATATTTTTATTTAAAGTGTAACATAAAAATGTTACCATTGAATGACTTGAATGTGTTATCTTCTAACAACAAGTATATAATACAGCTCATCTTAATTAGGCTTAAGATAGAGCTACGAATAATGTTCTCAAAAATAACACATTCATTATCGGAACAAAACAAATAAATACACAGCATAATATAGACAACAGATTATAACTTACTCGTAATACCTAGTGTTTGGATGAAATGAAATCAAACAAAAATGAAATTAATTGATTATAAGAGAGAGAGAGATGAAGTCAATAATAATAATAACAGGAAATTCACTTGGTGTTGTTTTACTTTTATCTTCCCATTGTTAATTAGAACTATAATTGATGTCTCATGTTGGCATATATGCATCCTGTGCAGGTTGCCTCGATATAGCCTAAAGTCACAAGCTTTCTAAGTAAATATGGATAATGGGGAGTGCGATGGCATTTGGAGCGAACGGTACTCCTTTCGAGTCCTGAAGTGAACATCAACTCTAGGATGCAGGTACATCTAGCTGACGAGTCCAAAATAGAACGAAACACTTGTCCTAGACTCCCCTGCTAATCACTATCCATCTTTGCTTATAAACAGGAAGTGCTCGTTAAATTTAATGCAAAACCATCGCGTTTTACTCTTTTCCCTTCTAATATTCTTTATGTAAAATAATAACAATAGTTCACTGAATTATTTGATGTTATTAACATACATTTTTAATTTATATTTAATACAATGGTTAAGTAATAATGAAATCTTCAACTGTATTGATTTTCAGATATTTCAAGGATTTAATTGAAGAGATTTTTAATGAAGATTAGTTTAATTCATAGTTTGATTTATTTACAGATTGGTCTCTGTAAGGATACTATTGGAAATCATGGAGTACTAAACAGGTGCTTAGTCCTGGTAATGAAGCTCTTTAATCATATGAATTCACGATTCCGCTCAGGATAGAACTCAAAATCTCCAGGTCTTTCAGCAAACTTTTGAACATTAGAATAACTGGGTTGGTTTTCGATGTTATAACTCCAACATTAATTAATTTACGATATAGTGTAGGTGTTATAACGGGACAGATGTTGGGAAAGTTGAAACTTTCGCAGCGGATTGATTGATTGAGTACAAAAGAGATTTATTCTGCTTTTCGTCTTAGTTTTTTAATTGACTATTTCGTTAGAAGGAGCTCATGGTCCGATGAGAGTTAATCTCATAGATTATTGTTCGTTGCTCTGTGTATTAATCGATACATAGGTCACCGGTCCTAATCAAGATATGATACATAATTTTGATTAGTGTCTCAACCCATAAGAGTGAAGAACATCCAATACGACCTACAACATCTGTTTCACTACCGACCCTCGGTCGGGCGATTTCGTGAATTGATTGAAGTTGGTCATTAACACTGTTGGATACCAGCTCATTGGTCTAAGAGTTAGGCTTTCAGGCGTGAGACCAAACGTTCTGGATTCAAGTCTCACGTGCAGGACTATGAATGCGCACCGCCTGCACACTTGGATGAGGCAAACGTCAAGTGCTGCCAGGTCTTCACTGGTAATCTACCTCATAATTTCAATCAAATTCAAAATCGTCAAAGATTATCCATTACATTAAAACACAGATATATAAACAAAGAATATCCTTTTCAATAAATTTTCTTCAGTTTCCAAATTAATAATCCAAAAAGGTGCCCAAGCTTAGCGAAAAATACATCGTATAAAAATTGTAGCATATGAATTTGGAATTCTAAAATAAAATAAAATCAATGATGCTCATTTCTGAGGATTCCCATACTAGGACGAAAATGCCGTCCAGTGCATCCAGGTTATCAATGGTAGGTTCACAAATTGATCAATTCATGATCTTAATCAAAACTGAACAATCTCCATAACCCTATTCTGAAAATCGCTAACGTTGGATGACTAATATGAAGCGTTGACTTGAATAAATATGGTCAATATAGGATAAGAGAGATATTAATGTAATTACAAATTAAAAATCATGTAATATGTGATATTATATAAATTACGTACGAACTAATAAATAGACATGGATACCGAATAAATTTCTCAAAATGTTTGCAAGCATTATACAGATAATAAGAATATGTGACTAAGATAAGTTTCAGCTATGAAAATACAAAAGGAAGATTATATGAACATTAATCGAATTACGTTAGCATATCATCAAATGATCATTATAACTTATTAGGTCAGAAGTTGGTCATGATAAAAGAAGCGATTGAATATATATATTTTTTAATCCGAATAGCTATTGTTTCAGTCGTCTAAAGGATTCCTAATCTCATGAATGATGGTAGATTGTTATTAACACAATATTATTACTGTAATTGATTGTTCCATATTGTCTACATGACAGGTTTGTACTAAATGTACTAGAATCAAGTTGTCAACAGTTTTAATTATCCTTTTTCCTTAATCAAACTAGGAGATGCTTACAAGAGAATGTAAACACTTATAATACACAACACATCACTTATCTATTTTAATTTTAATTCTTCAAATGATAATTGAAACTTTTCATAAATAAGAAGAAGAAGAAAAAGAAAAAAATCTTTTTTTCTCATTTGTTACCAGTAATAAAAACATTAATTATTTTTCTTAGAAAATTTATCACAGTTGACAGGACTATTTGAAAGTTGGCGTTGTTTGTTTTTTTTTTTTTACAAAAAACATTTGATTATTTTCAAACTCTCAATAGGAAACAAAAGATTCAAGGGGAGGGGGGAATTTATTACTTCAGTTATTATTATGATGTAATAAAATAAAGGGTATATCACGAAAGGATTATAATTTATGGTTTAAAATAATAAGATTTAAAGTACCGTTTGTATGATTTTTATTTATTCATAGGATTAAAAAGTATTTTATACCATTTTATTGATTAAAAGGTATGATGAAAATCCTAGATTTAATTTCCGATATGTGTTACTAACCCTGTTTTGAAAGTAATCAAAGGCGGCCTGCTTGAGTATCTGAGCTACCTGTTCCCGCCATCTGGATATTTCAACAAGTTATCTATTTTAGTTTGTTTTAATACATCATTATGTTTATTAATGGCAAAACTTATTCAGGTACGTTTCGCAAAAGTGTACAGCCATTTGTTGCCAAAGTTACAAAAAGCCCAATAAGAGATATTGTGGTCGCTAGCAATATGCAGCAAAAAGAATATACATTATTCATATATTCATTTACTGGACTGTTAACATCTAACTGGCGATCACTCAATATTCATCGTCAGGATCGACCAAGAAGTAAGAGACGGAAATTTGTTGAAATACTTAGTGCTGAGAATTCTGTATTGTACCAGAAATATAATATTGAATAAACCTTATAATAATAATAATATCAATAATGAGATTTCTTATGGTCATTCAAGATTATCTGTAAATTATAGATTCACTTATCTAAAAATTAAAGAAAATTGTTTATAAACACATTGAAAACTTCCTTTAATGGAGGTTTTAAGTTTCGATGCAAACTATAGACTTGTCAATATATAGCAGAAGAAAATGGAAACTTGATTATAATTTTGTAATAGTCATACTATAATTTGATTTGATTAACAAATCAAATATACAATTGCGTAATTCATTCATTCTCTATATTCACTGTTGGCTTGTCTGTTGATTAGCACACATTCCCAATATATTTCATATTAGACTTTATAATATCATCATATGATGAACTTGTCACACAACAGGATCTGTCTACGTATATGTACAACTTGTTTGACGAGATTCACATGGGGCTTACAACTTCTTTTCACAACCATTATAGTAGTTATTACTATAAAGAAGTAGCTATGAAAAGTCGACTAAAACTAAAATTAGTTATTAAGCAAAGATGGATAGTGGTTAGCAGGGGCATCCAGGACGCCTGTTTCGTCCTATTTGGGATGCGCCAGCTGGATGTATCTCCATCCCAAAGTTGATGTTGACCCCGGGACTCGAACCTAGTACCGTTGGCTTCAAATGCCATCGTGTTGATCACTTAGCTACTGGGCCCAGGTGGCCACCTGCTTGTGCAATAGGGTATGAAATTTATCGTTCAACTATAAAAATCTCGCCTCTGTGAATAACATTAAAACAAAAATTAAGAGATGTAACCGAAGACTAATGAACTTCAGTGATAATAATTGATTTATATTAACACTAACAATAACATTATGTAATGTAATCGCTTAAACATTCGATAATGTGATTCAGAATGAGTTAGAACAATTCTATCGAATTCAAATGAGAAGACACATAATCTTCAGTATTAAAGGTTTACAACAAACAAAAATTCTAAATTAAATATATATCTTGCCAATATTATTAATATTACTATTATTAGTAGTACTAAAAGTACTAGTAGGAGTAATAATAATGTGATTGAACTTTCATAATTATTACCTAATTACATTTTGTTTTCTCTTATAATTAAAAGTATTCAACTCATATAATAGAAATAGACTAAACAATAACTGAGATCTTATATAGTAATTATTGTGTTTTTATTTTCTTGCCGATAATTACTATTTCTAACTGTCATAATGAATTTTGTGTAGTGGACATTGAAGCACATTCATTTAGTTTTCACCAAACTGAATTCTTTTTTAACTCAATAAAGTATTATCTTTTTGTCTAAATTGAACTGAATTGAAAAATTTTGATTATAGAAATAAATATTGAGGAAATGTTGAACTGGTGAAAGAATAAAGAACACTTAGCCTAACTGAGTTTATGAACAAATAATGTCAGAACAAACGATCTCAAGCAGTGTGTATATAGCTAAGTGTTCGATTGAATTCTATTAGCGGTAAGAATGAGACAAAAATGGAGTGGGTTACTACTCACTGATCAATAAATGTGTCTCAGCCTTGTAGCAGATTAGTTACAGCGCAAATGGTTCAGTGATAACATAGCTGACTATAATACTGGATTGCGTGGATTCAAGTCTCATAGAAAACACCTATCCCTACGAAATCCTCAGCAAAGCATTTTGATAAGTGTTAACCGGCAAGAAACTTCAATTTACAGATTCTTCTCAAATGTTTCTAACTACTTAATGGACAAATTGTTTTCTTTTCGAAATAACGGAATGTGAAAACCGGTGAACACTCATGAGGTCTCCTATATTAAGACGAAATAGCTATCCACTGCTCCTTGATTTTCTGTGGGATCCCAAATGAAGTCAAATATTACCAACAAATTGAACTGGTTTCCACGAAATTTGTACATGAAAAAAATAAAATTTAGGAAACTCATGAATGACTGGCAAGCTTACATAGTTGTATAACGTGTCATTTAACGGAACAGTTAGGATACTAATCCCCTCTCCCTATATATACTACTGAACCGTTTAGGTAGTTGAAAATCAACTATGCTCACAAGGTGCATAAAATTGTATTCTTTATTTGAAGATTAAACAATGTGATCCAGGCACTTATAATTAAATATACTTTTAAAAAGGTGAAGCTTATCGATATATTAAAATTGGATAATTAGTCTATCAGTAAAAAGGTTTTGATAGGTAAGAACGAAACCGATATGTCTGCCACTCGAACTCTTGATATTGACTTTCTAAACGCTTACTATAACCCCAAAATATTTCCATGATTAAGCCCCGAACACTACAGAATTGGCAAAAATAAGAAAGGATGCTTTACTTCAAGGCTAATTAGTGTACAGAAAACAACGGCACTTCTAGATTTATTAATAACTGTGATTCTCTGAAAAGTTCCACTAGTGTACTAAATTTGATAACAGAGTAAGTAATCATCCAATCAAAGTATAACAAATACTTCGTCAATTTCCTAGACGTTTTATCAGCACGTGTGCTGATTATACAAAATGTCCTCAGTCTAATCCTGGCTCTTGATGACGTCATCGAGGAATTCTGCAGAGAACCCACTTAAAAAATCTCGATTCAAAAACCATTGAACGGAATTCATAAATCAACCTACTACATCTCCATGTTCTGTTTGTTAAGAAAAGTTACTGTGTCAATATAAAAATGTTCAGATGACATAACTTGACTTCTAAAATATTCGGTTTTTGAAAATTGCTTCATACTACTCCAAAAATGTTTCTATTAACAGTGATAATCGACATGTTTTAATTAATGTTCCCTGTAAAATTTAAAAAGAACTCAACATTTTACCTTAAATCTGCTTCTACGATTAGCCTAAAACAATAGATAATAAAAACCATGAACCTAACCAACTAGTTCTCTGGTATAATCTCATACTCAATGATTTTCTTTTGAATATTTCTTACAATTGATAGGTTATACATCCGATTTCACTGCACTATATCAGTCACTTTGTAAACTCGAAAGGTGACTAGATTTTCTTAAGTGAATCTTAACTGAATCGGATGTGTAACAGTCACTATATATTCAAAGTGGATAATAATAATGCCACAATATCGAGAAGTGATTGAAGTTATAAATTCGAACCATCGAATTACGACCCATGACCATAAAGTGATGCGTTTATAGAGTAACCAAACGTTCTGGGTTCGAGTTCAGATGACTTCGTATCTTTGGACTACCGAGTAGTTATATTCTGGGATGCAACAGCCATCCACCAAGCCTGGTCTTCAGTAGTTATTCAATTAAAGTTATTTTGTTACTATCTTCATGAATTAGTCAAACGTTCCATTGACGAATCCTAATATATCAGTGACTCTCTAGGTTTTCTGAAAAAATTCGACATATGTGTATCTAACTAAGATAAAAACCAGGTCACTAAAAAAAATTTTGTGCGCACATTTTCCATTCCTAATAACAGAGTATTATTTACCAGTATTATCTACATAGTTTTTAGGCTTTAACTACACAAAATTGATCATTATTGAAAACTAGAGAGTTAGCTTTTATTCTGTTTCACTGAAACTATCGACAGATGGGTTTATAATATCTGCTTTAAAGTCTCTGCTTTTAATCGTTAAAAGATGTATGTGAAAATTATTCATGATATTGTTTACATCACTGAATTAATTAAACTAGACAACTATTATATGTCTGGAATGATTGAACGATTTTTTAATCCCGTTATGAAACACTTCATCAGTGTGCACATGCTATCTCATATCATTTTGAGGTGACAAACTTCAAGTCCTGGGGATATAATATCACCTGTCAGACTTCTGATTTGTTAACTTCAGTCCAGTTGTCCAGTGTTTCCTAGTTTAAACAGTTGCTTAGTGAAAGTTAGTTCATGATATAAATATAAATTGGACTTTTAATTCAAGACTATATATAATTGTAGCATTGAACATGCACATATAAACGTGAACTGGCGAGACTATAATTTATGGACGAACCAATCACGTATAAGATAACAGGTCACAGATTTGGGAGTGAAATCAACTCATCCATTTGGATAAATAGAGTTTTCGCATTACATATGACGTCAGATCTTGATGGAAACTCGAAATCTAATTCCTAAACTTATTATCATCAAATGTAATTTATAATTCTAATTCCTCGCACAGGTTTATAATCCTCATTTGGTGCTGGTTATTAAGGGTACACTCTCGAGGTCAGTATAGTATCGCTCGAAGATCGTCCATAAATTATAGTTTCACCTGTGAACTCTATAATTGAAAAATATTCACTCAGATTTTAATAGTGGTTGTAGGTAGTTATGAATATCTACATGAACACATACATATACTGACTCACACATACATCGTTATAAATGTATCAGCAGTCTACTGAAGTGAATGATTGCAACTTTCAGTGAAACAGGAAATGCAGTATAATTTGATAATGAGTTATATTTCTTACTGTTTCTCTCACTCCTTTTAAATAAATAAAAGATATAGCTCAAATCGTAGTTTAATAATTGACTTATAAAAACTAAACTACTTTTTACGAATGATTAGTTAGATAATTTCTCTAATTTATTATTGTTCCGTTTTAACCCTAATGATATTTGACTATGTTATCAGCTGAGGAGGCTCACATTAGATTGAAAAAATTAACTTTTTAGATCAAGAAACTCAATCTTAGGCTACTTGATTTTATGGACAACGTGTTGTGTTTCCGCTCTTCATAGTTTGAATAGAGTATTCATCATGGGATCATTAAACCTATAATTAGAATGAGATAGTTTGCCAGTGCTCCTTTATGCTTATTGATTCCTTTAGAGCTGAAGCTAAATTGTTAAAACAAACCTCCTTACAAACTATCGAAATTAAAATTAGCTACGTACTCATCAATGACTACTCTTACAGTGGATGGCTGAGGTGCTATTATGAAGTTGAGACCTCCAAAGATTATGTCGCCGAAAGTTGGAAGGTTATTACTGATGGTAATGGATAATTATCATGCTATTTGGAATATTAACTGAGGTTGAAGATTGGGATTAGTGAGTTTTGATTCAGTACTCTGAAAGCATAACGTTCATTACGAGATCAGATATCCTTAGTTTCGTCTATGTAAGTGTTATCACTAAGGTATAGTTTCAAACTAAGGGAAAATACCTATTCAATGCTTTTTAGGTTTGAATAATTTTTTTCAGCTGATACACAGATCAGCTACCTTCAATCGTTTGAATAAAAACTGATAAGCAATAAGTTACTCTCTCTTATCCTACGATTCGCATGTTCAAGTCACACTATGTCACATTAAATCATGCTAACGGTGTTAATTACTTACCAAATCACCAACCATTGGAATTGCTTTCTTACCCCATGGTTGTTGTTCAGGTTGACTTTCGATAGATCGATAAAACCTGTTGGTGAAAACAGGAAAAAACAAATTGACAACAACCGACCGATCAATTTTGATGTATAGAAAAAAAGAATTTATGATAGTTATAAATTTGTTTCCAAAAAAGCAACACTAGTTTAGATATTGTTCCAATCTTCATAATGTGAAAATAATGCATGGATATTCTTTGTATTGAGTAACAAACGATAGGATTTCGAATGAAAAGTGTTTGGTTTAAAACATAAATTAATAAGAAGCATTGGCTCTACAACCGATTGATATGCATCTAAATAATGTATTTAAAATGGGAAAAATATGGCATATTTCTTTGAAGAAGTATCTTACCAGAAGTCATTCAAACATATACATGACATAACCAATATCAGTTATTACTCGGTGATTATTAAGCGTATTTATCCTAGATACATTTTATACTTTAGGCTGAATGATGATCATTTTCACGTAATGTTATTCTAAGCTAGATTGTAATTCATGACTAAAGAAGTACACGATGACAATATACTTCGTAGAGATGAAATTAATTCAAGCATTTCCTATTATTACTGGTCACTTTCAGTAGTACTAGACAATAACCAAGAAACTTAAATTTTAACAATTCTTACATTCATCATTCATGTAATAGTGATACGGATCGTAGATGCGAACTGCTGAAGAGTTTCATATTAGAACAAAGCAGTCGTCCATTTCTTCCAAGTTTTCAATGATGGTCTAACATTAATCCATTCGTGATTTCAATTGAGACTCAACAAACCCCTACAACGTTATGCCGAGAATTATCATATGCTCATTGATGACTGGCTTCGAGATGAAATTTCTGAAGTTCTAGTGAGAATCCGTGATCAGTAGAGTTCAACGGAGTGGAACATGAGGCAGTTATTGACCAAAAATAATGAAGGGTAATCGTATAACATTTTAGATTTATTGAAGTTAAACACTAACATCGTTACATAGTCTGTTCATTATTACTACTGGTAACAATTATAGCATTTAATCATTGTATTTATTGTCGTATTAAATTTTCTAATGGAAGAATCATTTCGAGAACTATTGAATTGCACAGATTGTCAAATCTACGTTAAAGGCAAGTGTTACTCACTAATAAAGTTAATTTTCGGTATAGACCGGTAGATTCTACTAACATCACATTGTTTGTCTCCCTCTATTTTCCGTCAATATTTTCAAGACAATTATGGTATCATACACTGGTCAGCTTGACATCAATTACAATTTAATTATAATAGGAAATTATTTACCCATCTTGATGAGTAGTCTGTAAAATTAAAGTTCCAGAAAAGCAAATTCTTTTCTAAAATTGCCTTTCGTACATGTTATTAGGGAATAAATCTTGTTATACTGTGGCGTTGCTGAAAATTGTTGAACCTGAATTTTTCACATCACTGATTAAATTCGTTTAGACAAACAGAAAATTTCAACCTTGAGGTGATTACTTAACTTCCAGATCACTGGATTGGTATACAACGGTTTATATTTCTAATTCCAGTTATATCATATCAATATTTCAGGTTTACCTATTATATCCTGATTGTAGCTTGAGAAATCACACTATAAAATATCTCTGAGGAATGTTGTAAATGAATTAGTACTGAGGTCACACTGATATCACTACCTCAGATAACCTGTACAAATATCCAATAAATTGGACATCCAGTTCACCTCCCTATCTTTGTTTTTCTACTTTATATTTTTGACACAGCCATTTCATTATTATTATTATTATTCACTTGATGTTGTTTTACTTGTATCTTAGAACTGCAATTGATCAGTCTCATGTTGGCATAAGTGCATCCTGTGCGGATTGCTGCTTCGATCTAACTTTAAGTCACAAGCTTTTTATTATTACTATTATTATCACCTCTCACATTCATTTCTACTGTTCATGTACTATTTACCCAAGTGAAAATTAATAAAGTCCTTAACAATTTGAGAGAGCGAGCGAAAAAGAAAAACATGTTCACAACAATATAATAACCATCATAATTATGTTGATATATTATCATCACGTTACATTGTATAACATTAAACAAAAGCTATTTAGATGAATAGAAATGAATATAGATGTAAACATAAAGATCTCAAAGAAACTGACCTTAATAAATTGATTGGTAAAACGTTTTTGTCTGTTCATCTAATGATTTCATAAAATCGATTAGGTATAATAAACATTTATTATTAAGTATGGAAGATAGATAGATAGATTGTTGATTTATTCACATGGGTGATAAATATGATCTTAGTAGTTTTGGATTATGATCAACAGTAGAATGTAGAATATAGGTTTTAACCCATTCTGATCTCTACACAAGTGAATGCACTTGAATTTTAGTATTGATTGTGTCACACTGAAAATCAAACTTATTACCTATCACATCAAATGCTAATGTTTTATGTTGTAACGGGTGTGACTGCAGGTTTTAATAAGCAGCGTATTTATCGATCGATCACAGTAACACGGAAAACACGTAGTGGACGACCTAGTGCCCTGATTGGCCCTGCTCCGCAGTCTGTCCCAGCCAGTTGAGTCAAGAACGCAAGTCACAGCCTTTGAGTTATGAATCATTGTATTTCAGACATACTCTATTTATATACCAAACAAACAAACCACATCGTACCATAAAATAGAGAACAACATTTACAAAATATTTAACAAGTGAAATAAACATCAACCAATAAGAAATGTACATTTAAGGTCCAAGGCCACCATAGACTTAACACGATAATTATCGGTATATTTTTCCGACTATCCTTAACATTTTATCTACTCAAAGGCTTGATTATGATAGCCACCAAACTCTTTAACAGGTTTAATGTTAATTCGTCAAGGTTTATAATTATTCTGTTGTTAATATTCACAATTCAACATTGACCACGACTTTTTATAAATCAAGACAGTGTTTTCAGTACAATGTAAGTAGAAAAAATTGACAGATTTTTGTCTGTAAAAAACTAATTCATATGAAAAAGTGTAATGTTCAGTGGTTGAAATTTATCACTGATTAAGAAACACTTCTCGACTGATCCCCTGGATCATAAGTTAAGATCACGAGTTCATAGGTCATTATTTTCAGTACAGTCAAAGAGAAATGAATAGATCTCCAATCTGCTCATGAGTCTCAATAAATTAAGTGTTCTGTTTATTTCTAATCTCATTGGTTGAAATTCAATACTGATATAATGATTACCTAGGAGATAGGATGTGTCTGTGAACCGGTAATCTATCTGCCTCTCAATTGTCAGTGTGTGCAATATCTAGCTTTTTTCCGTTCATTTAATGAGTTAATTTCTCATGTAATAATATAATTTTCACTGAGGGTTTAATTTCAAGCTCTAACCTCTTTTTTTTTCTTTTCCGTCAGCTAAGCTGAGGTGCGCTACAGTAGTGTAATTAATCAAAGATATATGCAGGCAGCTTTAACTTATCCCCAGTAAAAATGACACTCTTTCATGCATCACTAACACATTTTATGAACGTAAATATTCTCGAAAATGCTAGATACAACACTGTGATGTGTGCTACTAATTTCGACAGATATAAGTAGTATGTATCATCAGTCGAAAGTGAAATACCTGGCAGCAGAAGATTAAGAAAATTGAAGAAAAGAGAACGAGAACAGTGAATGATTGCTGTGGAAATGAAGGAACAGTGAAGACTGAGGCGATTGATTGACATTTTGCAAATGAAGTATTTACTGTATGGTCCTCAGATTTTACTAATTTTCTCTGTAATTTCCTATTTAAATTCATTCGGTTGTCCCCAATTGTGTTCTCATTCACTACAATACTTTCGTTGAAAGATGAAAAAGGAAAATTGTCTTCGCTTTTCAACCAGCGTTATATTTATCTCGATCAGCAGTTCAGCTGTATTCCAACCTCCTTATACTGGGATATTACTGGATAAAAAAAACTAAGTGTTGAATACTACTGAAAGATATTCAGAATCGGTGCTTGATATATCCCTCACTAATATATGGCATAGTGTGTTCATATGCAATCTGTAATTATGAACAGACGCCAGTTTCCCAGCTGGATAAGCACATATTAACCAAATGAAACAGTACAAAAAAAGTGTCTACTAGACTTCCAATCATCATACCATCAATACAAATATACAGTATTCATTTCAACCGTATTACAAACTTTAAGTAGTGAACAGATCTGTATAGCCAGTCATAACCAAAATATATTGGTACATCGATTCTTGTTACATATTGATGGCTCATTCACTCAAAATAATAAATGTTATTAGTAATCTAGCCAGATGAATCCCTATGCTTAGTACATCAATAAACAGAGTATTAAATGTTTGTTAATCAGCTAAAATATCTTCAATATAAAACAGAGAAGAATGTATTTATGAATTTTTCATCATAATCCATCTATAATCTGTTAGGATAATTCAACTAAGAATTAATCAACATTTCTATACAATAAAATATTGTAGCCTAATTTGAAAAAAGACACCATTATGTCAGATATTTCTTTATTATTGAAGATCATTCGGTGAGACTATAATTTATGGACGATCTTCGAGCGATACTATACTGACCTCGAGAGTGCACCCTTAATAACCAGCACCAAATGAGGGTTATAAACCTGTGCGAGGAGTTAGAATTATAAATTACATTTGATGATAATAAGTTTAGGAATTAGATTTCGAGTTTTCATCAAGATCTGACGTCATATGTAATGCAAAAACTCTATTTATCCAAATGGATGAGTTGATTTCACTCCCAAATCTGTGACCTGTTATCTTATACGTGATTGGTTCGTCCATAAATTGTAATCTCGCCGATCGTTCAACTCATATACTTTTCATTAGCACACAAATTTTAATATCATGAGAAGAAATTTTCTATTACTGAGGAAATTGTAATATAAAATCCCTCTTTATATATAGGTTTATTTCATCTTTCATTCAATAATAACAATCAAATCTGTAGTTTGTCGATAAAGAAACAAACCTCGAAAACCGATTGCATAATGTGAAACTTTCTGATATTAAACAGTAAACAAATTCTTAAAAAGTAGAAACCATCACCACTAACAAAAATAAAGCCTCCTCTGGTCTTTACATTTAACACAGTCTTATTCCATATATAGTCTAACTGCATCTGTGTATCGTAAAACGCTTAAGAACTGTTCTTTTTAGGAAAGCTTTTAGAATCATACTTCTGTTTATGTGAATCTAAATTCCCATATTAGAATTACTTTTGACTATCATGTTCTCAGAAGAACAGTTTGATGGCTTTTGAAGCGAATGGTACTGGGTTCGAGTCCCAGATTGAACATTCACTCTGAGATGCAGGTACATCCAGCTGACGAGTCCCAAATTGGACGAAACGCGCGTCCTGGATTCCATTGCTAGCCACTATCCATCTTTGCTTATAAAGCTTGTGAATTAAGACAATATCGAGGCAATACGCACAATATACACATATGCCGATAACAGACTGATCAACTGCAGTCTTAAAACTCAATGGGAAGATTCAAGCATAATGATACTAAGTGAATTTGATATTTATGCTATCAATAAATTACTAAATCCTTTTCTGTGGAAAAAAATCTATAGTAAATTATAGTATAACATTCAGGATTTTAATTTTTGATTTACTTTCTAACTCTACTTAACATTTGAACTAATTTCTCAGTACCTCGAAATGTTGAAATCTCAATTTCTGTACATTTCAAAGGATAGGTTTGTATGAAACACAATAATTAGTCGGTCAGTCTTGAGTAGCTAAGAACCTGGTGAAAGACTATGCGACATAACACCTAACCTCTCCAACTATTGGTTGTAGCAATCGAGCTATTCCCGACTAGGTAGTCTACCCATACTAGTATATCTTAATTAAGCATTAAATCACATTATGAACTGACGTAATGTCTTAGTTTGACAACCTCTAACGTTTCTCCAACCTACTCTTAAATTACCAAACATCAAATATAATCATTCAATGTAAACTGCGTTCAATGATAATAAAGAAACAACAATGAACTTACCCAAATGCGGAAATCGAATCACTGTCTTCTACTTTCTGTAAAACATTAAGAAAGACAAGAAAATAAACATAAAAAAGTTATGTAAAAAGCCATATTTTGTACCTGTCTCACTGATATACATAGATTAAACAAGTATGAAATTTTTTTTAAAGACTTACTAAAAACATCTTTAGTAATTTTATTGCACCATTGGGTGCATTGATTACTGTTACAAATGATTAATGGTGCTCAATAATATTTCGTCTACTTTATACAACTGAAAAGATATTTCATGAATCATTTCTCAAAACTAAAAACATCAGATTTGAAAATCGGACAGAAAACATGTTAGACTCTTTTTAGAAAAAAAATCTTTTGTTGTCACGTAATGCACTGATCATGATGTTAACGAGTTTCTCATTTGGTTAAAGTATAAAGTCCTTCGCTACTATCGGAATTTTTTTTTAAGAGTTCATTAATTGATCTCACTCGATGTCGTTAACTATTTTCAAATAATGAATAGATTGCTCACCTTTCTGTTTTTCTCAGAATTATATCCAATCATTGTAAATAACTTAGCTGCTTATCAGAAATTATTTTACATTGTTTAACCAAAATAGAAATGTTGGGCGTAACCTCTAAATTATTTCGAATAATATTTTTATATTCTAACTAGTTACTTTCTTATAGCTCACTTGTATTCTTAAAGTGAACGATATACCTTATTGGATTTGAACCCTGGTCACCCTATTCGACAGTGTGAGATGTTACCACTGAATTACTCAGGCTAAGATTGAATTCTTGTAGAATTGAGATATATACAACTGATTGATCATTGAGTAATGTCTAGTTTATTTTAGTGATGATCGGATTCTATAGATCTAGTCGAAATTTGACAATTTTTTATACCTCATAAATAGAGTGAATAATTAAAGTAGAAATAAATAGACCAGTGTACATGCAAATGATACACTCGAATTTATGAAATATTTAGCCACATTTGAATTCAGCTTATCAGTAAGTTGGCTGGATTTATTATTAAACTCATTTCATTGGACAATTTAGATTTATAAGGTTCAAATAAAAGCACCAGCATGTACACCGTAAATCGTAAAAGAAAATTCAGATAAAACACAAATGACAGATAGTTCATGCAACAAATTATCATCAATTAGTCAACGCTCGATAATTTTCAACACTTATATTAGTGAATATTCTCACTGAGGTAACCTTGCATAAAATGACGATAACAAAAACACATTGACAGTTAAGTGGTTGTCAGTGATTTCAAGTATTGTAGTAGAATGAAAATCATATTGAAGACAATACAGTACTCACTGAATGCCATGACGTTATGGGTTTGATTGTCAAGATTATTTCTTGAAAGTATTAACTGACTTCATTATGAATAACAAACAAGGATGGAAAACTTCCCCTCCTTCAATAATGAACTAATAACTAAATGTCAATTTCACTAAGCAGTATCACAAAATGATTAGAGTCAGAAATGTCAACCATTGGATTTAAACTTAGTGATCTACAGGTTAGGGGTCGAAAATGAATCCTGAATGTCCTGTATTTGTCGATTCCTGATTGGCTCTTGGATACTTAATGACGAGTAATTCCATACTAAGAATAAGCGACTGTCCAGCATTTCCTGATTTTTAATAGATTTACACGTAAGATCAGTTCACGATGTAAACAATGAAATCCGACAATCCTCAAGACCTTCCTTTCTCCTACAGTAATAATAGATTCTTGTACCTGACTGTAAATAACCAAAAATTCATCATTATAATATTTACTTAGCAAGGCTTTTTCATCCAATTTTTAATCAAGTAAAGTTCAGACTCTTGAAAAAACTTATTGATTATACACAAATTTTTTAAATACAAAAGTTTAATGTTGTCAGACTAAGATTTTCATACAGAACAGTTCGTTAAAATTTTCCGGTAATCTATGATTTTCTCTCGACTACAATCATTTTTTTCTACTAGAGCTTTTACTACATTGTTAGATAACTTTAAGTATTTCTTTTTCTACACTGATACTGTGGTACGTGCTACTTATATTGATGTAAGTAGTATATGACACGAGTTAAAAACGTAATGTCTGACAGCAGAAGATGGGGGAAGATCAAGAAAGGAAGAGCGGGAGCACAATACAATTTGTAAGAAAACGCATGAACAATGAAATGTGAGACAATGGATTGATGATTGTAACAGGAACAGTCCGGTTTGATATGATGGATTAATATTTTGCACACTAACGATTTACTATAGTGTTTTTCTATTTTTCCAAGTAACTCTGTAATCTCATGCTAGATATAATTCAATTGTCCCCACCCGTGTTCTGTTCACTACAATACAAGTCTTATTAAACACGTTTCTGGTCCTAAATGTGTTATCCAAGTTCCACAAACTCTCAATTCCCAAACTCGTTTTAAATCTCCCCATTGGTTTTCTTACGTAAAATCTATATAATTAGTATTTAATTAACAGAACTTTAATAAGATATACTCTGAACCTAAGAATTGCTTTTAGGATCTCACTGTTAGAAATATATATTTCTTAGAATGCAAGCGATGTCAGCCTTTATTTCTACTAAATGAATTTATCATCATCACTCTATCAGTTTCATTTAACACTGGTTGCATTTTGATGACAAAACAAATGCTCAATTAAATTGTAGATATATTCTTTATAAATCATAGCGTAGGATTACAACCATATAGCTACGAGTTTTAGTAAAGTCGAATAATGGCTAGTAGTAGAATCTACGACACACATTTTGCCCTATTTGAAAATCATCAGTTAAATGTATTTTCTTTCAGTGTTTATATTTACACCAAGACTTGACAGGTAATTGGTTCGAGCTCTGGTGTGTGCTTGGTTCACTTAATTGACGAGGTCAAAATAGTTCAAAACACATGTCCTTGATATTTCACTGCCAGCTACCACATAACTTTGTCAAGATAGCTCACTATTTTTCTATACTTCTCTACTATAGTTAATCCTATTTGTTTCCCTCAGTTTAAGATATTTAATTAGTGAATATTAGCAAGAAATTTTACAGTGAAAAGAACAACCAAAATAAGACATCGAAAAGAAAGGATTGAATCGAGAAAAGAATATAACATGGACGACAATATCTGAATATTCTCTCTAATCAAATCTAGATTCAATGTTATTTCAGTGGTTATTGTCTCTGTTATGATAGTTGTTTATTTTATACCAACTTTCCTATTTACATTTTCTATGTGGTGAATGAATGGATGACCTAGAAAAAAGACAATTCTTATTGGTGAAATACAAACAATAACGAGGAGAAAAATAATAAGTAACAAAATAAGGAGAAGTTTTACCTATATTTTTTCAATGCTATTCTCAGCACTATGTATGTAAGTGTGTGTGTGTGTGCATGTGCATGTGAGTACGAAATCGATAGGGAAAATTACTTTTGAAAAACAAAATTCCATGAGATTATTACTTTTTAAAAACTTTTAAATGAGAACTTAAGAATAATCAATTAAAGTTAGGTATGTTAACAAGTGAAAATGACACCCTGATATACAAAATCAATCCATTATTAAATGCTCAAAATGCTGGATACTGCGCACTTATTGAACAGTGATAGATGTATGGACATTCTCTTATTATGTTTACTACAAAGGCTGTTGAAACTACACAACTCAATATTCTCTATTAAAATAATTCGGTAAATACGTTTTCAAGGTCATATGTGAAAATTCATAAACCTATTATGATCAATAGTTAGTACTTAAAGATATATTTTGTCCTGTTTTAAATGTTGTTAATTGCTGTTTACACAAAGACTTGAAGCATCTATCCAAGAAATCCTTATCTAGACGTGACCGAGCATTTTAGATATGAACATGGATAGAAAAAATATAGAGACAACCTTTAGTAAATAATGATTATTCATGAATTGATTTACAATTATGTGCTCACTCGCGCCTAATTTCAAGAAATAGTTCATGGAGTCCTGGTAACAAGTTATGACCAGGTTTGAAGCAGTTATCCACCAATGTCATTGAAGAAGGATGCATCATTGGATCTCAGCTCAATGGTTTAAAGGTTATGTGCTAATCACGAGATCTGAAGCTCTTGAACTCGACTTGTCGTTCAGTGAAGTGTTGAATGCTCACTGCTGAAGAGGCTCAAACAAAAATGAACCGGATATAGTTTTTTTCCTGGTTTTCAATGGTTGTCTAACTGAGATAACCGATCCGTTAGATGAACTGTAATAATTTTGTTTCTATTGCAATGGTGGAAGAGACATGGAATAATATGTTTAAATTGTGAAATATACTAAACGTGACTAAACTAATCTATACCTTAATAAGATCAAAATTTTTCGCGGATTGTTTATCCTGACATTCGCTTTCATTGCTCGCTCACATCAACTGCAGTATTACGACTACTATCAAAACCAGGAAGTACTGGATTGATGGTTTATCCGAAATAAGAAATATTTATCAATACTAATATATAAAGCTCACACTGGATAAAACATGAAATCTTCTGGTCTTGCAATCAGAATGATGTTACTAAACCAGTGATTAAAAAATCAATTGGGCCGCACTCATAGAATCAGTCAGTTCATGATATTCCGTAACATTATTCAATTTACCTCATTCTCAGCAAGTTTGAACTTTATCGTTGTTCATAGTTTCCAAAAAATACCTCCATGGGTTCTTCGGAAAACTAGTTACTAGTCAGTACATAGTAATTATTAAGGTGAAGGATTTAAGAAGTTAATCCATCTCAAAGTTGATTCTACTGAGCTTACAACAAGACTTAAAGGTTCAAATTTCGATACTCTATCAGCACTGCTGTGGAGTCTCGATTTCTGACAAAAACTCTGATCACTGAGATTGTTTTTATCAGTGGTTATCCAGCTGGTATTAGTTTGTGATAAAAACTAAGTTCAACGATACCTTGTTGTTCTCATAAATATTTTTAAAAATCATGCAAACTATATTATGAACTGACTAACTTTCACAACTCTATTTCTCTTGTATTAAAATCTTAAC